CTCATGGCTGGCTCCCAGGTCTTGGCGGGAGCTTACCTTCCGCCCCAGCTGGCGGACAAAGTGCTGTTCCGCCTCCCCCCACGCTCTGCTCCCTCCTGCCACCGAGTCCCCACCCCGGCCCTGACCCTGATGGGCACGAGTGCAGCGTGCGGCCAGGGCCGGTCCGACACCCGCCTCCCCGCAGAGCCCCCAGGCAGCGAGGGCAGAGGCTGAGAAGGGGAAAGGAGCGAGGGCGGGCGCAGACACACGGGGGCTGAGGGCGACACACAGGAGACGGGTTCCGGACTGGAGGAGGAAGGTCCAGCTCGCTGGGTTTCAGGGACTCCGGCCCAGGCCCCTCGGGCGCCCTGCAGGCACTAGGGGCCCATGTGCCGCTCGCTGGGTAAATGATGCGCTGAGCAGCTGCCCTGCCCCCTGCCCCAGGCCTGCTGTCCCAGCGCCAGGCTGCCCTTGGCAACGGGGCAGTCGACAGGTTCACCAGACGCGGGGCCTGTGAACCAGGTGCTCATGCTTAGCCCCTGCGGGCAAAGTGCTGTTCAGCCTCCCCCCACGCTGGGGTCAAGCTCTGCTCCCGCCTGCCACCGAGTCCCCATCCCGGGACCCTGGGGGAGTCACATGAGGGAAAGGTCCCCCCAAGCCTTGGCTGAGTCAGGCTGTAGCCTGCACGTGGCGGGTGGGAAGAAGGGAGTGGACCCCCCCACTCATGTCGCTGCTCTGGGACCCAGTGCCCTGGCTGTAGCACCCTCCACAGAGCAGCTAAAGAAACGGCCACACTGCACCTCCCAGGCGCCGGGCCCGTCCCTCCCCCAGTGACCGACATACCCAGCTGCCTAGCTCCGCGCCCTAGGCTAGGGCACGGCTGGAAAGTGGTTGCACAAGTGAGACAGAGCCAGGAAGGATGCCTGATCCTTGCTCTAACCACTAGGCCTCCTGGAGCCAGGAAAGAAGCCAGGTATCCGGACTCCCGGCCTCCTGCTCTAACCAGCAGGCCCCACTCCCCGGTGGCAGGGTTGAGTGCTGGGCGAGCAGGGACTAGCCCTACCAGCAATGGGCACGTAGGCCCCATTAACCCTTCCCGGCTTCAAAGCCCACGCCGTCCCCAGCGAGCGGGCAGGTCAGCGAGCTGAGCCCGTCAGGCGGGCAGGGTGAGAGTCAGCCAGGAGCTCCACAAGACACTGGGGGGGGAGGCACAGAGGAGAGGGCGCGAAACCCAAGCAGGCTTAGAATAAAAGAGGCTCCTTACATCAGTGTGACTGGGCAGCTTCACCCTGCTCTGGAGAGAGAACAGCATGGCACAGAGTTACCATCTTCAGCAGCCCCCCGCCTCGCCCTGCCTGCCGCGGAGGGACCCCCGAGCACCGCGCCAGGGCCTCCCAGCCCCAGGGGCTCTGGCCAGCGAGACGCAGCACAAGGCAGAGCCTGGCAAACCAATGGCAGCACCCAGAGGAGGATTCCTGGCTCCCACCCCCGCTCAGCACAGGCAGTGCAGCGCCAGCGCCGCGCCCACGGGCAGGGGTCCTGTCGCTCGCTCTAGTGAGACACTCACGGTGAGACAGGCAGAGCAAGAGCTGGGGGAGCAGGCGTCCCCCAGGGCTCACGCTTGCCTTGCCTTGCCACCACCGGCAGCTTCGCAGGGCAGCCACCGGCTAGCCCACCTCAGGAGCAGAGCTGCCCCCTGCCTCAGTATAGGCGACGAGGAGTCCTGTGGCACCTTACACACCCACAGATGTGTAGGAGCATCAGCTTTCGTGGGCAAAGACCCACTTCGTCAGATGCACGTAGTGGAAGTTGTGACGTAGTGGGGGGGAACCTGCTAACTCTCTGGCTGCTGTCTGTAGCACCACCGAGCAGACAAGCGACGAGTCACTATGCAAAGAGGGGATCCCAACTGGTTTGGCCAGCTGACCCCCATGGAGAGGAACAAAGGAAGGTGGATGCTGCCCTGGCTGGGGGGCAGGGCTTGAGGAGAGGGAGTTAGTTCCTGGCTGGAAAGCAGGGAAGAAGGAACTGGGGCGGGGGCTGGGATCCCCCCCATCTCAAAGGGGGCACTGGGGCCTCTTAGCCCCAGTTCCTGTAACCAGACTACATCTGTGCTGTGCTGTATCCTGGAGGAGCAATAAACTCCCTCAATTCCACTGGCTGGTGGAGTCTGTTTGTGCCATTTCGGGGTGCAGGAGACGGGGGACCCCCAACGCGCCGTCACAGAAGTTTCCAGAGGCAGGTGTAAATATTCAGGCAAGAATCAGGCAGCAGTTTCTCTCTGAAGTCTGGTCCTGAAGTTTTTTTGCTGCAGGATGGCTCCCTTGAGATCTGCAATTGTGTGTCCAGGGAGATTGACGTGTTCCCCTACAGGTTTTTGTATTTGCCATTCCTAAGATCTGATTTGTGTCCATTAGTTCTTTATTCTAAAGAAACTGCTGAGCTGCAGTTCATCTGCAAATTTGACACCATCCGCTCAGGATTAAACACAGACTGTGAATGGCTGGCCAATTACAAAAGCAGCTTCTCCTCTCTTGGTGTTCACACCTCCAGATCAGCTGCTAGAAGTGGGCCTCATCTTCCCTGATTGAATTTACTTCGTTATCTCTAGCCTGACTCTTGCCTGCATCTTTATACCGCTGCCTCTGGAAATTTCCACTACATGCATCTGACCAAGTGGGTCTTTGCCCACAAAAGCTTCTGCTCCAACACATCTGTCAGTCTATAAGGTGCCACAGGACTCCTTGTTGCTTTTGCAGATCCAGACCACCCCTCTGATACCTGCCTCAGTATGGCATGAAACAGCCCTTCTTGCCCGCACATACGTGCCCGCTCCTCCACTATCTCCCCCAACAACACAGGCTGCCCACAACCGGCTACTACAGCAGACGGCAGCTCAATTCCTCATCTCCTGGCCTCCCTCAGCCGGCAGGCCGTTCCCTGCTTAGCTGCAGCATTGCACGGGGCAGGATTTCGTGTCTTTCCCCCAAAGCACCAGGGCTCCTCTGGGTGGGGGGTGGGCAGATCTAGCCCCTCCCACCAGAGGAGCCAGGCCATGAGATCCCCAGGGAGCGTAGGGCTGGGCAGGGGCCAGCCCCACAAGTCCTTGGCTGTTCAGTCCTGGCAAACCTGCCAGGGCCACAGCTGGGCTCTCTCTGCAGCTCCGCTGACCTGCCGCCTGCCAGAGATCTCCGGGGGCTGCTCTGCTCCAGCTCTCGCATTGGGGGACCAGTCACCCCAGCCACAGACAAGACATCCCGGCCCCAGCCTGGAGGCCACGTGCACGGATGTCCCGCGCACACCCTGAGCACACGACACCGCCAATATACACAGACGCGGCCCGAGCACCCCGTTACACCTACACAATAACTGCTCGTGCACATGGACATCTCCCGACGACACAACACACAACTACACTCAGTACGACACCGCACACACACAGAGGCGAGGCACGTCCAGACGACACAACGGGAAGCACGACCCCCAGGCCGGGTCTGGCTCTGCTCAGCTGCACGGAGCAGGGCTGGCAGGTTGATGTGGCCTGGGGGCGCTGCTAGGGAGACAGCCAAAGAGTTACCTTCTCGGTCCCCTTGCCGTGTTTTCTCAAGAGCGTCCCCTGCAGAAACAACGTCAGAAGGGGGTCAATGGCCCAGAGGGGGGAGTGTGATCACGGGGGGGCAGGAGACACAACGCCTCCCTCCGCCTTCTCTTGCAGCCATGGGGTCACCCTCTCGCAACCTCCTGCCCTGGCCCGGTGCCAGACCTCAGTTCAAGGGGGCAGCTTGGCTCCCATTTGCCGCCCAGGCAGCGTGGCAGGGCAGCTGTGCATTCCCACCCCCAGCCTTGCAGGAATGGGCCAGGCCCTGTCCTCAGAGGCCAGCCGGTGTCTGCCCAAAGGGGCCCTTTCCTGCACTGGCAATGCCCTGCCCATCATTTGGGCTCCGCTCCTCCCGGCGTCTGGGCCCCTCACACCGAGGGGTTTCTCACGCCTGGCCCTAGGTGGATTCCGCCCTGCCCCGGCTGACGGGTCTGCAGGAGGGGTGGAGAGGGCTGCTGCCATGCTGGTGGTGGACCGGGGGCGTCGCCCACCTGCCGGCTGCTCCTTGCCATGCTAGCACTAGCACCAGGGAACGGTCCTGCATGGAGCCTGGCTCTCTCCGAGGGCAGGGGCCGTGGAGACAGCAGGGCCAGGCGGTGCTGCTGCAAAGGGGGCGGAGGCAGGGGATATGGCTGGTAAAGGAGGCAGGGCCTGCCTGCTCCTGGTGGAGGGGGAGCGGC